TTAAACCTGAAATTATTAAAAAAAAAAAACCTAATATTTCTCCCAACACGCAAGTTACATAAGAATTAATTTAAGGGATAATTTAATATATAAAATATTAAATCGATGATTTCTCAATCTAAAATAGATTATAAACTTTTTTTTAGGACACTTATATAAGAATAAGAGATACTTAATAAGAGTATCAAATTTTAAGCTTTCATTTTGTACCAAAAGGAGATAGTAACAATTAACTAAACCTAAATAATATTATTAATATCAATAATCATGTAATTTATTGGTAAAACATTAAAATTTTAAATTTAATAATCAAAATAAATTAATATTATTAATTTATTAACCACTTGCAAAGACAATTGTACATTTTGTGCATATTTTTACACTGTATGCAATCAAACCACCTTATATTGCGTGATTCGATTACCTCTCTTTAATCATCTTCATGCCAAAAATAAATAAGTAAAGATTCATGAATGTTTGGGAGCTATAAAATTTTAATTTTTGACCAAACTCCCTAGCTTTGACCTATAATTAAATACAATAAAATAGCCTATTGATGTGTTTGAGCCACAATTTAAACAAGAAAAAAAATTCTAAAGGTAGGGGCCGAGCTATTATGTAGTTTCCAATTAGATATAGGCTTTTGCAAATTGCAATTTGCTCAATTCAACTTGCACATTGATGATCATGGTTAGTCAAATTAGGCACAAAGTTCCTCTTACAATGAGTGAAAACATGTTTTATAGAACATATGATGAAAGCATTTGACTCTTAATTCAAACAATGATGATTCAATTAATCTTGGTAGTCTCATTTGTTAAAACATATTGGCTCTAATTTTATTATTCATAAATTTTTTTGTAGGTAACTTTTTTTTCTTTTATAAATCTTATCTTTCTCTTCTTTAATTTCCAAACATGAAATCAACGTATTAAAATTTTAAGTTTTAACACTTACTATGAGGGTTCCTCTTCTAAAACAATATATTGTTCAAATTTATTCATGATCATTCCAAAATAATTCTTTTATCATCAATTAAATTTTATTGTTATAAAAATTTTAAAAATGATTGTCAAAATCGTATTTAATAATTATAATATTCACATTAAATCATTCTTGATATATATATATGTATAACATATTTATCACATTATAAATCCATTTTACAAAACAGAATAAACTAACAAATAAACATATAGTTGAAGAAATTACAAAACAAACACTAATGGGAATTGAAACACACCATCAACTTCCAAATCACTTTTTAAAAAAGAAAAAGAAATGAATAGGGTAAGAAGAAGCCGATTTTAATTAATTTGATCGATCAAAATCAATTGAATTTCATCAAATTGATTCAATCTGTTAAGTTTGGATGATAGTCAATTAAGCAAAGCAAGTCAATAAGCTAATTTGATTGATTTTTAATGTTTAAAATTAATAATTGAACTAATTAAATTAATTCATTCTTTTATTGAATTCATCAAATTAGCAATAGATTGTTTTAAATATAGCAATCAATTGTCCAAAGGAAATTTAGACAACAATAGACTTCTCTCACAAAAAATATTTATTTATAAATCAAATTGACGAATCTAATTGATTCGATTATTTATTATTAAAACTAAATTAATTAATTTTAATTTGTTTTAAAATTAAATAATTCAATTTTTAAGTTTTTAAGATCAAAACAAATGAACTTACCAACTGCTATAAAACAAATAATACAAGTAATCACCGTATCAACTTGCAAAAGAAGAAAACCAAGCAAGTAAAATATTTTGAATACAAAATAATCTGGCAGAGAAAATCTGACAACAAGTGTTCCAAATGGTAAATTAAAAAAAGGAAAATTTTGGGCTAAACTTAATCATTAACCCTGCCATTTATATGATTCTTTCCAAGCTTTGTTCGGTCGAGACACTTAAATAATATAAATATAAATAAATAAACAATAAAAACCTGCAACCGTTAGTTAAGCTAGTATTTTATTTTTTTTATGATAATATATTATAATTTTTAATTTTTAAGTGTCAATAAACAAAGAATTTACCTCGGGCTTCGTTCCTTTGAATTATTACGGAACAAACACGTGTTTCAAAGATAAATAAATTTTGGTCAAATAGAGGAAGGTTCATGTGAATGTGTGCATCAATGATTGAAGCTCTCGTTGGCTTAATCGATTTGCAATTTGCCAACATCCAAAGTTGAATGAGAAGAAGCTCAATTCGGAGCAAAATATTTTTGGTGTAGTCCAATTCTCCAATTTTAGGAAAAAGAAAAAACAAAACACATTTTAGTTCATATAGATAGTCAAAGTTTCTAATAATGTGATGTTAGAGTGTAATTTAATTAATTAATTAATTAGTTTATATAATTATTTTTAAAATATAATATTTAATAAATTTAAAATTAAAATTTAATATTTTTAATTTATTTTTTAATTTTCAAACTACATTCATTTTTATAAAAAAATCTAATTACATGAGACATTAAATTATTTAAGCTATAATTATGATAATTTTTTATCATATCAAGTTATATTTAGATGAATGGTGCGATATATTAAAAATATTTTTTTTAACAGTGCACTTTCATGAGCTTCATTTTTTTACTTTACATAATCTAAATTTAACTTTTGCATTTCAAAATTAGAATTTTAAATTCTAATAGATTTATGAGACATTTTACAAAGCCTTAAGTTTTTTTTTTTTGTTTTGTTATCAGTAAGATAAGATAATATAATAAGTTAACAAATGGATGAATGTTAAAAGATAGATCTTATAATAAGATTTAAATTTTACCTAGCTAGGTTTTATGTGGTTTTAGGTTCATATAGTTATTAATAATTTTCATGCATTCATTATTAGCTTTGACCATAGTTATAAGAAAGATTAAGAAAAATTATGAGCACCCAATAGGAAATTATAGGGTAAAAATGTATTGCATTAATGTGTTTTTGTCATGTTGTTTAGATTCCTTTTATTTTGTCTGCTAATTTGGGGTTTTAAAAATGGTGTTTGGTGTTAAAAGTGGTGGTATCTCACATATAATAAATATATAATTTTTTATAATTTTATATTTAGGTTTGACCTATAGTTAATTAATTTTAAGTTAAATATGTAATATTTGAAAGAGAAGAGATTGCCTTACCAATATTAGTTAGCATATAACAAAGAAATTAAGTATGCTTTATACAAATTTCACCATAATAATGATTTATTTTGTGGGAATGGTTGGAATAAGCTAACTTTTTATATTTGTAATTAGACAGATTTGGTGAAAAATAACATAAAATTTTGATGTGATTTAATTGTAATTTTAAAATTTTAATTAGAATTAAATTTACTAATAAACATATATTTATTTAATTAAAAATTTAAAACAAAATTTATATAAACATAATCCAGTTATCAAACTTAAAAGGAAGAAAAAAAATTAATAATGGTTCATAAATAAATATATTATTTAACCTAAGTTGTAATTTGAATTTAATTCAAATCATACGATTGAGAATAAAAGATTAAGAAGATTAATAAATATATGTTGCTCATGTCATCAATTATCTATTTACCAAACTTTGGGTTTTTTTTTTTTTTTTTTTAAATGACCCAACTTTGGGTCTTAAAACATTAGAATGGAGAGAATGGGTCTGGGCTTAATACAACAAAAAAATTGTAATGCTTTGTTTGATCCATTTCAGCACCTAAAATTTTAAAAATAAATATTAAATAAGTATTAAATGATAACGGATCATGGATTTCTAATTTTCTATGGTTCATAAAAAATTTTCAAAGAAAAACTGAAAAAAAAAAAAACCAAAGGGACAATTCTGGATCTGTCATTACCACAAACAGTTGTACTGTTTTGTGTCCAACAAAAGATAAAAAATCCCAACTTCCTTTCTTTTTCTCGACAATTAAAGAGAAAATAAAAAAAATAATATTTGCTTTTTTTTATTACTTCTGTCTTAAATTATTTAAACGATATTAACTTTTACAGAGGTTAAAATTTTTTTTATTTTAATATATTTAATATTAAAAATAATTTTTTTATAAAATTAAAGTTTCATGATTTTTAATATAAAAAGAAAAAATCATAAAAAATAACTTTAAAATATAAAAAAATAAAGATTTTAGATATTCAAAAAAAATAATTTTGAGATATTTCAAAAAAAAAAAAAGATAAAGAAAATGAGATAGAGAAAGTATAATTGAGAATGTTATAGTTTAAACTCTGATGGTTACAAATTTAAAACTAAAAATCAAATATCCTATCAACATATATTATAATGATGATGAAAAAATAGTGACATTTCCTTACATTAGATATATATATATATATATATAGATATATATTTTTAATGATAAAACATTAGATAGTCTTTAATATATACAAAATAATAAGTAATCTTAAGTTTCAAGCTTACAAATAATTTTTGCAGATGATGAGGTCAAATGTATGATTTTTTCTTAATTTGAAATGGAGAGATCCAGAATTTACTTTGATGTTAAATTAAAAAATGATGTTTAGTTATAATTTTTTATATAAAAACACCTTAATTTAAAAATAAATTAAAAATAATAAATTTTTTAAATATTAACTTTTAAAAATAATTACATAAACTAAATATATTAAATTTGATGATCAAAATGCAGCATTATCTTTTAAAAACCTTTTTACATAAAATAATTACAATGTAAAAATAAAAAAAATTACAATTATTAGGATTTAATCACAGAGCTGTTGATACATTTTCTTTCAAAAGCTTTGGCACATTGAAATAAAAAATTGGATGGTTTTTTCGTTTTTTTTTTTTTTGGCCACTCATGGTTTGACGTTGAGCGTCTGGCATTTTTATCCCTTCCTTGCACCGTCTGTTAGGCACTTTTAGGCTTAGATTTTCGTAATATTAACTTTTAAAAAAAATAATTATTTTTTTTATAAAAAGCTCAAGCAGACATTTCCTCTCTTTATCCATCTTTGCTTGCTCTTCACTCTCTCATTTCATCTCCCACTCTTTTCTTTCTTTCTTTCTTTGTTTCTTTTTGCTTTGCTTTTCTGAACTCCAACACACTCTTTCTCTTTGCTTTCATATTCCTTAATTGAGTGACATAGCATCATCATTGTTTGAGAACAACTTCTCTTTTCACTCAATTCTACTTTTAACCTTTGCTTCTTTCTAAAAGAACTTTTTTTTTTTTTGGTTTTTCCTTGGAAAAAACTTCTGGGTTTTGTTTCTTGATTCTTGATTTTCACTGTTATTATTTATCTGGGTCTTCAAAATTTTCCTATAATTTTTTTCTCATGGAAAAGGACAATGTTTTTATGGCTGAGGGACTAAACAGAACGGCAGCACAACAACCGACTTGGAATGCTTGCGGTTTTGGGATAGAAATGCAAACAAATGAGCTGAATTGTGGAACAGAGCAGGTGGGAAGTTGTTTTTTCAATCCCTGTTGGGATAATTCAATGGATCAGAGCGATCTCTTTGAGTCAGCTTTGAGCTCCATAGTGTCTTCTCCAGCAGCATCCAATGCTGGAACTACTCTCCCTGGTTCCGGCGATAATGTAATGATCAGAGAATTGATTGGAAGATTAGGAAACATATGTAATTCTGGTGATATTTCACCTCAGTCTTTCATTCAACCAAATAACAACACCAACAGTGCCAACACTTCCTGTTATAATACTCCATTGAATTCACCTCCAAAGCTCAATCTTTCAATGATGGATTCACAGATCAGAGGAAATTTGAATTTGCCGGGTCTTGGAAACCAGTTATCAAATCATCCAAGCCTGGCACCATTTTATGCTGACCCTGGATTTGCTGAGAGGGCTGCTAGATTTTCCTGTTTTAATAGTAGCATAAATTTTGGTGGCCTAAATGGTCAGCTTGGATTGACGGAGGCTGAATTGTCTCAAAGATTGCTTCCTACAATGGATTCTGTTAAGCTTTCAAGAGTTTCAAGTAACCAATCCATTAAGGTTACTGGATCTCAAGTAAATGTTCCAGAAAGCAACAAAAACTCATCACAGGAAGGGAATTCAGGTTCTGATAAGAAAAACAGTAGGCTGTCAGGGTCTTCCTGGCCAGATAATGCGGAATTTGGTGATTCCAAGGAAGAATCTTCAGTTTCTGAACAGATCCCAGGCGGGGATTCAAGCATGAAAGGCCAAAATGAGGCCAATGCCAGGAAAAGGAAATCAATTCCGCGGGGAAAAGCAAAAGAAATCTCAACTTCAGCGGCTGCTGATGACAAGGTAATGTAATTCTGTTTAGAAAATTATTAGAATTTATTTGAGTTGTCAAATTCTGTTGAGAAATCTATGGGAAACTAACGTTCGATATCCATTTCAGGTTGCAGCAGGGAATGATGAATCCACCGCCAAAAGAAGCAAGCAAGATGGAGCCGCTGGGAATGCAAAGGAGAAGACAGAACAAAATGGCAATGCTAAAGCAGCAAATGATGGGAATCAGAAGCAAAGTAAGGAGAGTTCCAAGCCACCAGAGCCTCCAAAGGACTATATCCATGTCAGAGCCAGAAGGGGTCAAGCAACTGATAGTCATAGTCTTGCAGAAAGAGTACGAACCTTCAAAGCAATGATCTGTAGTTATTCATTGCACGGTAATTAAGATTTGTATTCACCTGGATATCTTTTGTCATTCTGTATTGGTCCAGGTTCGAAGAGAGAAAATAAGTGAAAGGATGAAGTTTCTCCAGGATCTTGTTCCAGGTTGCAATAAGGTGAGCAAAACACTCTAAACTTTGCAGTTTGTACCGTCTAGAAAATTGTGAGAACTGAAAAAAATCAATTAGAACTCAGAGTTTAGCTCATTTGGTTCATGCAATAGATTCAAATCCCAACATCTGCAATCCTTTCTCCTATCTCTAGGCTGCGGCCTCCTTTGTACTAAAAAAATACCAATTACAATGAGCGTAGAATTATTGAATTGAGAATAATATTTGTTGCAGGTGACTGGTAAAGCAGTTATGCTTGATGAAATTATTAACTATGTGCAGTCCTTACAGCGTCAGGTCGAGGTAAACTGAAAATTTCCAATATTTCCTTTGTTCATTTAATGTTGATTTCAGTTAGAGTGCATAAGTAATTCCCTATTAAACAATATTTTCTGCAGTTTCTATCTATGAAGTTGGCTACTGTGAACCCAAGGATGGATATAAACATGGAAGCCCTTCTGTCAAAAGATGTAAGTTTATCTCCATGATATTGTTCTCTATTTATGGTAAACCATCTGAATTTTCAAGTGACAATCTTGAATCCATTGCGTGCTGCAGATGTTTCAATCTCGTGGATCTTTGCCACATGCCTTTTATTCAATGAATTCTTCTGCACCGACATTCCCTCTTGGATACCAGCCCCAGCAAGGACTCCATCTGAACAATGGCATATCCAATAATAAAGAGACTCAATTCTCAAACAATCCACTGAATGCTGTATTGCGTAAAACACGAGGCTTGCAGCTACCTCCTAATGATGGTTTTACTGATGCTAATCCTCAGGTAATCAATAAAATCACTTTTCTAGTTCGTAGTTAATTCCCATTTAATACTGTTAAAAATCTCGATTGGAAGCTGAACAAATTGTCTTCAGGTTGCGTCAATTTGGGAGGATGATCTCCAGAGCATTGTTCAAATGGGATTTGGCCAGAATCAGGCACAAAGCTATCAAGGTAACCATAATTGAACAAGACTCAGACATTACATTACTTGTTGAATTGGATCATTCCAAAAAAAATCAAATGTTTGACCCAATTTTTGTCTGGTGCAGGCTCATTAGCTGCAGGGCAAGTGAAAATTGAGCTGTAATTACAATTACACAACACTTTCTGATTCCCTTCAGGCCCTCCGGGAGAGCAAGAGAGGCCCATGTACATAGAGAGAAATTACAGCTTGTGAAATCTTTAGCCCTGAAAAGGGAGAGAACTTATCTTAGTTTAATCTCATTTCCCAAATTGTTTCCGCAACTCATTCTTTAGAGAATTCTTACTAGAATTCCTGATATGTAATATGGTAGAACTAATTGCAAAGAAGTGGTGCATAAATCACAATTTAAGATTTAGCTTCAGTGAAAGGAGTGTTGGCGAGGTTGAAAGAAGACAGGAATTTTTATTTATACTTCTGTTTCAACCGTGTCTATTGGCCTTACAAATTGAGAAAAGAAAGTTATCTTTCAATTCATTCAGAAACTTTTGGATATATATATATATATATATATATTTCTTTTTCTTGTATGTGAAGTTGTCCAAATTTGAATCTTGATTACCGGAATCCAACATTCTACCAATAGCTCAGGTGACTCCAACTGTTAGGCAAAATTTTTTTTTCTTTTCCATTTGATTGCTGCCTATAACTTTGGCTAAGATCCTTCCGCTGATTTTGGTTGGTTAGAAGAATATTGATGAAAACTGAAAAGTACAGATAAATCAACAGCAAAACCAGTTGTGAGATCCCATGGATTTATCCATTTTCCTCTTCACTTCTTGGCAACCAAACAAATGCAACAGTCAAATGAAAATGATAGCATTTCCATTGCTTTCATATTTTGCTGGAAATTTTGAAGTGGGGGTGGGGGACCCCGGGATTAGAATGCAATTATGTTATGTTAAATCGCGTAAATAGTGGGAAAAATAGATTCTTACTTGCAAACAGCTGTTAAAGTGGGGACAAATGGTCTCTTAAGTCCAACTGATGATTAAGAATGATTTGTGTTTTGAGCTGGAATCCAAAGTCATTTGTTGACATGCAATGTTTTTTTTTTTTTTATTTTTTTATAAAGTTTAGAGACGACGGATGATTTATTGACTAGGTTAGTCTTAAATACATATAAAATTTTATTCTTGAAAACTTTTTAAAAATATTTTTACAAAAATATAGTTGTAAAACGAATAAAAAAACTCAACTTTCAACAACTTCTTAACTGGATTAATGAATGGAATAATTGACAGCAAATAACTACTATTACTTTTTTCTCCTTTGGTTTTTGCCTTTTTTTTTTTTTTTGAAGTGGGGAAATGAGAAGAGAATCAAAAGCCCAGGTTGGCATTGGTGAACTTCTGACTTGGCTGAGGAATCAAAAGAGTCTTTTACAATCCCATCTGCTTTAGAAAATTCTGAAAAGAAAAGGAAAATCTGTTAGGGGGATATGTGGAAGAATAAAGTAATGGAGTTCAGATGTAGAAAGATACCCTTTTGAAGACACAAAACTTTTCCATGAAAGGCTGTCCTCAAAATTCCAATCCAGAAAAGAAATCTGCTCTGCTGCCTTTTGGCCATGGTGGATTGATCTAACTGAAATTGATCAATGAATTTATGTACAAATATTGGATAATATTCAATGAAAGTTAAGGATAATAAAAGAAGGCAACCAAGTACAATACACAATGATGTGTATTTATTTATCTGGTCTGAAATGGCACTTGTTTTTTAAGCCACTAATATTGAAAATATGGAAAGGACAACTAAAAGCAGACTGCCCTAGTGCATAATATTTTTGGGCAGTCAGACTATGGTACATTTATAAATTTCAAAGCTGTTCTTTTTCATGTTTTTGCTTTTTTTTTTTTTGGATATTTCTGAAAAAAATAAGCATAATTTGGCTTGAATATAAGATTTCTATTCTCCATCTAAATTATTTCTTTTATATTTGAGATTATTTGAATTTAAATTTAATCATTAAAATTAAAAATTTAACATTCTATTAACAAATTACGTTAATTGTTAGATATTTTTTACCCAAACCCTTGTAATTTAACACTAGAGTGAAAAACCAAAGTGACATTTTACTGGATAGATCTACAGATTTACTTCACATTTGCTACACGTTGCTGGTTTCAAATAGAAAACCGTTGCTCAAATTTATTATTCTGATAGGATGCATTCAGTTCATTTTGACAATACAGCAAATTCGGAGGTCATTTGAAATATGTCAACGTCCTTATTAATCTCTCATGTCATGAAAAAATAAGGCATGGTTGATAGAGACGGTTCAAAAAACATCAAAAGACAGTTGGCCATCAGCCAGAAAAGCTTATTCTTACACGTTTTACATGGATCGGTTCTTTTTATCAAGTCTTTCCATAATTCCTTAACTGTCGGGTGATTTTTTTTGGTATTGGAAAATATTGTCAAGGATTGAACCCCATGCTTGATTTGATTACATGAAATCGGAGTAATTTTGAAGGCTAATGGTTTGTAAAGTCTTGTGCTCCAAGAGTTTTCAGATTATGTTCAATTTATTTTGATTGTATGACTGACATACACTCTGATCAATGGTTGAATTTTTCTGTCACAGACAATTTCAAATCTATTATGATGGTCAGCTTTAACAACAAGATCTAAACAAATTTGGTGCATCTGTTTTAAGTTTTTGTTGTATTTTTACTTAATAATGGATATGGTTGATAGTTATGCTGAATTAAGGACAACTCAGTTTGATAATTGCCCTGCTTCAAAGGGATATTGCTTTGATAATTAGTCAACAAAAAAGATTTAGCACCCAGGGAAATGTTAATTATTAGATATAGTTATGCAACAACCAATGAGATTGGATACTTAGAATCAGGAAAAGCAGTTGATACCAGCCTTAATCATCAATGTCACATTGACAATGATGCCAAAGCAAATTATGTAACTAAAAAGTCCATTCGGCAGTCCCATCCAGTCATAAAACGCAGCTGTGGCGCAATCAGAATCTTCCCACCACCACGCTAACAAAGGGATTCTAAATCAATCTATCAGGAAAAGATTATTGCAGCAAATTGAATCCTGTCTTTTGAAGCAAAACTCTTCAGCAGGCAGTGAATTATGAATTCCAACTTATATTTGAAAGTAAAAAATGTGTGAAAAACATTAATGCAGACAATCACTATCTGACTTCAAATAGTTAGGTAAAATTAGTTGCATCGTTGTATTCTTTCTCTTTCTGTTTTATGCTTATTGTCCCACTGTTACAACTGCATTAAGTCACAGAACCAGATTGATAGAAACTTTAGTTTGGTTTTTGTTAATGTCATCCACTTCACTTAAAATGTGACTCAATTTGGTTCATACCCAGTTGACAGCACAAAAAATAAATAACATCTCAATATTAACCTCTTCATTCAAATAAAATATCTACACAATTAAAATTTTATCAAAAATTAAAACGAAATGTTACCCGGACGAACTTTTAAGATTGAGCCAAATGAAATAAATATCTTTCAAAAATATAATTATATCATAGAGTCGAATAATTTAAACTTTATTTTTTTAACATAAAATCATACATTAATCATTGAATTAATTACTGAAGTGTTAAATATTAAATATTTTATCCACAAAATTATTTTAGAAAGTTCCCACCAATTAACTGAAGTAATGAGGAAGGATGAATGATTAAGGGGAGAGATTGATGGAATATGTTTATGTGGGGTTTATAATTAATGATGATTTAGAAAGGGGTGTCTATTTACCAGGCTGTCACTTATTCTTCAGTCATACTTTATCTGTTAATATTCTACACCTTCCCACTTTTCTTTTATGTCTCTTTCTTTAACCTCAGCAATTGCAATTTGCTGCTTTAACTTCGGTTGGTATATATCAAACTTTGATTGGATTGTTCATAAAAAATCAACTATATAATAAATATTTTAAAATATATGTTATTTAATTATAAAGTATTAAACTCTTAATTTCACTTATCAAAATTTAATCTCTAATCGACTCAAAGAAAAGAAAAACCTATCATTTTGCTTCACCAAACATAAAAAAACTGTTATTAACATGCAGAAACATAACTTTGGAAAGTATACTCGAGGAAGAAAACAAGCACAGAGTTAGAATCAAGATTTCAAAATCATGTGATAAACATTGATAGAAACAAGAATTCTAATTTATATTTGATGGTTTTCTTTTCTACTTCATACTAGCTTTATTCTTTCTTGTGCTCAACTCACCATTTTGATTTTTTTTTTTTTATCCATACATTTCAAGAGTTAAACTCGACACTTTTATCATAAAATCTCTAATTTTAACTGTTCAGAGTATCCTTTAGTGACTCGGTTTTGATTTCCTCTAACAATAATAATAATATCTTTTTATACTTATCTTTTGTTCAAAGAGAACTACTGGTAGGAAATACCTGGATGTCATTTTCAAGCCTATTTATTTCTTTCAAACTTGTAGCTTTGTCCTTTCTAATTTTATAGGAAAATACTGATGATGTATGGCTAGGGTTTAGAAGTTTAGCGAGTGCGGTGTGTAAGATTATGATAAAATGAAATAAAATATTATTATAAATAAAACAAAATAAAATAAAATAATTTTATCTTATATTTGATATATACAAATATTAAAATAAAATAATTTTATTTATTAATCAAAATTATCTTTTTTAAAATTCAATCTTATGAATTAAAATAATTATATTCACTTGCAATCTTATCATTTTAGATACAAATCAAATATGATATAAGATATCAATTATCCTATAAATCAAACATGGTCCTACTGACCTATTTCATTACAAGTCAGAGCCAGCCCCAAGGCTTTAAAAATTGGGTCTCAAAGTGTGAGAAATGGTCCAGAGGTAGGGATAGACTGATGTCAATGGGAAGACAAGGCCACAAGCTTCCTGTTTTATGGTCTCCAGGAAATGATAAGACTCCTATTGTCAGGAAGCTCTCAATGTGAACTGTCTTGTTTTTGCCTTCCAAAAATGAAAAGAAATTGCCCCCCTATCCTATTGACAACAAAACCAAACAAATAAATGATCTAAAGAGTTCAAAAACATCTGTATTCAGCTTTTCAGATCTTCCTACATGTCCATTGTATGATTAACTTTGGGGGTCCAGAACACCTACAAATGAGAGAAACTACAAGTTCAAATACAAGTTTAATAACTCTTTCTTTCTCTATCTCTGTAATGCCATGTTTTGGAATGTGGAAACGATATGGATAGCAAACATATGTGCCATGATGTTTGTTTATGTGCTTGAATGTGTACACATTGCTCGCAATCGTGTTTCAATTTTTTGCCAAGAGATATGAGAAATCCAGAATCAAAGAGGAAAATATGAGAAATCCTTGTTCTCAGAAAAAGAATATAAATCAACTCTTATGAAAAGAAAGAATCTGAATTTGATTACAAATAACATTAAGGGAACCAAGATAATGGTGCCCCAATATTGGCAACAACTGGTATACAGATGAACATAAAAACAGCTACAAACATTGGAGCTATATGACAGGAACTGTTAGTAATACATACACTATTCTGCGGTTAAACGTGATACTATATATTGCATCGATCATATCCAGAGAACCATGATGAGTTTTCTGTAAGTTTAGATAACTCACCATCCTCACCATTATAGAATGGTTCAAATTCTTTTCGCCATCGCTGAGATTCACTGGCATCATGGATCTCACCTGCATCATACTTCACAATATCAAAATTATCATAAGCAGGTCGTATTGCTTCTTTAGGTAGATGCGATTCTGCAAGCAGCTCATTAAGAGTGCCAATCTCGTGTTCATGTTTTCTTTTTAATTTATCAATCTGTTTGTGAACCCTCTCAGTTTCTTGTTCTGCTTCCATTGCTCGCTTCTGCAATTATTTGAAAACAGAAGGAAATGAGAACAATGCTAAAGGTTTCAACTCCTGTTGAAGACCACATTCACTTCCAAAGCGCTATTCTATAGATTCCAAGCTCATGAAAGAAGAAAATGGTAATGGAGCTTTGCTTAGTAAGACCAGCAAATGTGAACCATTCCCTACCCCATGCAAAACCAAGGGAACAATTTAATTAGAAGCCTTAAAAAGAGGTAATATGTTGATCCAACAGCCTATAATTTTGAAGCACAGAATATATTTTAAGAATTTGGCCATCTAAAGTACACACTCTTGTAAAGCATGCTAGAAAAGGATTATTTATGAGAATGGAAAACTACGAGATATCGAGGAAGAGTACTACTCCAAGAGCATTGTGTTATTTATGTATTCTCTGATTTTGAAGTAAATGTGTTTCATCTGGAAATTCCTATGTCTAACTTTAGAACCCTACCTTCACCAAGAAGAAAAAAGTTTAATTTTATGACTCAGCAGGACATGTGCTATAGTGCTCTTACCGTACAATTTGTCATAAAACCTCCATGATTTACCTACAGATGTAATAGAGCAATTGGAATGTTTGAGTCCTCTATTTTAGTGCTTTTACTGTACAATATGTGTCATAAACTTTCTATTTACCTTTTTATATATGACACTTTAATTTGTTTACCGTTCCAATAAAAGAAGCAACCAGTAACTAGATGATGACTCAAGAAGCTTCAAAAATAAGTTCTCAGAGCATTGTATATGTCGTAAATGTTAGGACACAAATCCATCTCGACTTTAAAAGCAAACTTCTTGTCATATTCGCTTTGCATTCTAAACTTAAGGTTATAGATTTGATACGAAATTCACGTCCAAAAGTTAATTGAGACTTCATGACTGGTGCTTTGTGACAAACAGCATGGTTCAAGGGCCTTTGCATAGGCAAATACTAACACTAGTATATGTTTTTATAGTTGACTAGCAGGGTTTAGAACAGAATTTTATGCATGACAAGGCAATGTATAGAGAACATATATAAATACATACATACATAATGTATAGAGAACATATATAAATACATACATACATACATACATATATACATATATATATATATATGTGAGACGATAGTAAGAGTGCTTATAGAAAAATGAAGGAAAACAAATAATTTTCACATAGAAACTAATCTATACACTCATCTTGTCACTTTTAACTTCTGATATTGCCCGATCAAAATTCTACTTAGAAAATCAATAAATTGAATGACAATGTTACCTACTTTACTCTTCCATCTTAAGCATTCAAAAGTAATACAACAGACTCAACAGACACTTTAACATCTAAAATTCCAATCTGATGGCTACCCCAGTTTTGGCTCAAGCTGAAAATTGAAAACTTTATATGTAATGACAATCTTAATATCAAGCAGTGAAGCTAAAGTGCATGAAAACATATCAATATGTTTGCTTACCTGTGCAGCAGCCACAGCTTCCTCTGCTTCTTTTAGCCTTACAAGCAATTCGCCCGCAGCCTGGACTGCTTCAGCAGTATCCCTCAATTGAGCTTGGAGTCCTTTATTCTCATCCCTAAGATACCGCCTCTCCTTTTCCCTCTGCACTTTCAACGCAGAAATTTCAGCAGCAAGGGCATTTATGAACTTAGATTCAGCACCCCTAACCCCTGCCTTAGCAGCTGCCTTTTTAACATCTTCTATTCCCTCTTGAATCTTCCTATGCCTTGTAAGCAATTGAATATGTTTTTCTTCAAGATCTGCATACTGTTCAAGCATTCTTGCATTTCCCTGCATAGCCATCTGCAATGCTTCCTTCAATTCTTCTGCGCATTTCTTCTCCATTATTAGTTCCTGTTTCCTTTTTTCAGCTAGTAACCTGCTAGCATCAAGTTCAGTCCTCAATTCCTCTGCAAGAGAAATCCATTTGCTTTCTGCCTCAGTCCACCGAATTCTCTCTTGTTCAAATTTCTCTTCAGCACTCTCCTCACTTGTCTCTGGTATTGCACCAAGAGGTGGAGGCACATTGGGCTCACATGAATTTGTCAACTGCAGTAGAGAATTTTGTCTTCGAGCTAATGTGGAAGAACAGTCTATATAGTACTGTAACTGGTTTCTTAAATCCTGAATTTCTTCTATCAACACTTCCCTCTCACCCAAATCATGAAAATTTCGAAAGCACTCCAGCTCATCCTGAACTTTTTTCAACTCAATCTTCGTTCTTAAAACCTCAGGATGATTCTCATATTTGTCCTTCAGAAGCTGTAGGCCATCCGTAAGATATAGAGGCATAAAAATGTTAAAAAACTTAAAGACCATGTATATACCTTGTGTTCATGTGTGAGGGAAGCTAGCTCTTCTACCATGAATTCCTCAGTAGGTAAAACACCATCCACAAGGCTCTCAAGGCGAAGAATTTTATCCTCCCTTGTCTGCCTTATAATTTCATTGCATTCTCTCTCATGTTTATACTGTTGCACCTGTAAATAATAGCCAATAAATATAACATCAACAATTCACAATGGCGATGCCCACAGTTAGCTGCTGGTAAAATTACTAAGAAACCTACCAAACGGTTTAACTGCATTATCTCAGAAGCTTGCTTGGCACAGAACTCTTCAAGAGCCATTTCTCTCCTGATAGATCCAGCCAAAACCTTCTTCACTGCCTGTGCAATTCAAAGGTAAAAAAAAAGTCAACTGTGGCAGATATAAATCTGAAAAGCCAGGACTTGAGACTTCTTACCTTCGGAACTTGCTTCTTGGTTTTATCAGCAGACTCTGGCTCATCAACAGGGACCAACTGCAAGTTTGAGCTTTCCTTGTCCTCTTTGCCCTCCAGGTTTGTTCTCTGTTTACAATTACTACATAGAAACACTACAGCCTCTTCTCCTTGAATCTCATAATCTTGAGGAAAAGTTTGGACTCCAACATCAGCTTTATGAGCTGCAAGGATTGGCTTAGAATCAGCAGGTTTTAATGAAAAACGAAATGATGATCTCCTTAATGCCAAACTCTGATCAATACTCTCAAGACCGCGATGGAGGCTATCTGCCAAATGTTCAGTTGATGTGAAAGATACACGCATGCCCTCTGGGCCATCATCCTTAAGATGTTTCTGCGAAGCAGCAAACATTGATGATGTCCTAAGACTCTTCCTACTCCAGTTGACTTCAGGTGAGACACTTGGTATTGGGGATTTAAGAATCACAGGGGAATCCCCATCAGTTGTTTCAACAGTTACATGGCCTGGATTCTCTTTGACACTTTCATGAGCACTAAAAATGTTTCGGGTGTTTGTATCAGGTTCAACACAATCAGCAATCATATTTTCAGAGGTTTTAGGAACTTCGGTTATTTCTTCCTCCATGTTCACATCAGTATCCTGAGCATAATGTGCTTTGGCACATTCAGATGCCTTAGGCCATGGATCACCAGCACATCCATTTTCAGAGGTGGTATTTCCTGAATCTGATCCAATTATCTCTAGGTTAGTCACTTCATTTGAACAATGATATATATCTGCTGCTTGCAGACCTACTTGAGCAGAAAAATTCGCAACAGCTTCCTCATCAATTTCCATCTCTTCGTCACCATCTTCATCAACATGAGGTAATGTCCTTGGATGATTAAGGCTAAATTTTAACAAATTCAAGCTCCTACGGGCATTCCATCCGGTTGAGTAACTTCCATTTGGATCAGTTTGGTTGTTGCCATTAGCTTTCATTCGATGGAGTTCATCCTGCATGATTCCATCCACATTTGTCATATTCACACACTTGATCGCATAACTGATGGGGGGATAAACTGATTATGAGAATATACCTTCAACTGCCGAATCACTTCACGCAGAAAATTTACATCATCCTTCATTACTTCATTAAGAACCGCCTTGTTCTTGATTGCTTTTGCACGCTGAGCAAACCGTACTGTACTGAATGTTTCACTCTTACAGCTGCATTATTGACTCATGTAAACTTCCCTTGCAAAGGAGGGGAGGAAGAGGAGGGGGAGGGAAGAAAATCTTAAATAAAATAAGGGCAGTTGTCTTGTTACCTTTGTGCTGGAGAAATTGCACAGACAATTGCTAATTTTGCATTACCACCAAGAGATTCCTGCAATAGAAATGTCAACTTGGAGTCTCTGTAGGGAATATGCCTTTGCTTTCCGGTTTGAGAAACTTCAGCAAGAATCTTTATTAAGTTCCTGAACTCCAAATATTAAATAAAATTAGCAAAACGCTAGCAGTGTGTGCCTCTCGATGCATCCATGAAAACATGATAATGCAACAAAGAAGCAAGAAAAATAATAGAATTGAATCTGAATTGGGCAACTGTCTTCTTAAATTTTGCGTATCACTTGGCCTTTTATCTTCTGTAGCTTCTTTTTCTGAAACTGTAATTTGCTAAATTATTTTCTTTTTTCAACTAAGTAGACAATCACCATTTAGACAAATTTGCTACAAGTAGTTTTCTTTAAAAGTTTGGACAAGCATTTGCTCTATTACATTAGTTCATTTTTATTGGATTTTAAAACTCCATCAAGCATCCCTTTGCCTTTCCATGTAATATTTGACACATACAGTTCCCCATATTCTGACCTAAATAGTAAAGAGGAATTCTGAATTGTGAGATTCAGAGCAACATGCTATAAGTATCCAACAATAAAAGGTGATATGGTATAAACAAAATTCAAAAACTATTGCTGATTTGTGCAATGTGCAACTGAAAACCTGCATAAGTCGAGATGACATGACATTAGGAGCTCAAAAATATTCCTTACAATATTTTGCCAACTACTTGAAATCTCAATGATTCCGAATTGCTGATGTATCACACTGTCATCAAAGTAGGAAGATCTAGCCTTTTGTACAAAAAAGCAACAACTAGAAGTTGAACCTAGAGTTTCAAATAAAAGATGCACCTAAAATAAGACATGCATATGAAAGAATAGATACAAAAAGCATACCCAAGCTGTGAGAGTGAACGATTAATATTCCCTGCCTCCTTTAAGCGCTCCCCTGCGGCACCAGTTAATTTTTGTCGCTCTGAGCCTGCTAGATCAACTAGATTTAATCGGCTTGTTTTAAAGCTACATACACCATCAGCCACACTCTGTAAGAATATAGAGTACTTCAGAATCCCTCGAGCATAATTGTGACAGAAAAACCCATCAAAATAGGAGATTTTTGCCAACTGTGGTGCAGATCATTGGATCCTTGCAACTTTATTATTTACAAAAATTAACAAATTAATAATGAAATGTGATTTAAGACAATTCCCGTTGCATAGCTGCACAAATTAGTGATTTGAGGCCATCACTTGGTTTTGGCAAACCTGTAATTGGGATAAAAGTATACTTTGCTCAAACCTAAATGTCAGAAACAAATAAAGCACATGAAATTCAAAGCATGATTACCTTACATCGGGATTCAACAACACAAGTAAAAACACTATGTGAACGGGAACTTTCGGCATTGATACTAGTCGCACCTGTCCTTCTATTTGATAATCCCTGCATTATTTGTAAGGCTGCTTGTAAATATAATACCTTAAAAATTAGTTGATTCAACCTTAACAGTCAAGTTTCAACCACTTCTATCAAACTGGAGTAAAAGGATCAAGCTAATAGGAAATCATACAAACAAGTATTCCATTTCTAACGAGAAAACCTTGAAAATTAGCTTTCTAAACATAAAAATTGAAGATTTTTCTTCAAGACAAAGTCTACAAAGCGAGAAAACAATGAGCAGTCAAAGCATCGGCAAAGTAAAAAAACAAACCTTTATTAACAGCTGAGTCACATCGTTCATCGAACTTACATACTCCTCTGTCAAATTCTCAACATAGACCCCAGATTTTACATCTTCTCTTAGCTGGATGAAAATCATAAAATCATATAAAACTTAAAATTTTCATCCAAAAAAAGGGAGTTGATAATTATCAACTCTACCTGCAGGTTTCCTTGATTTGGATCCAACAAATCTGTGATTTGTTCATTATAGATCTGCAAAATGAAATTGAAAAGCAAGTGGGAAGGAATAAGAATAATACAACTTACAAAGCTAAACAGTCCAATTACATCAAAGTTTAGAATCACAACAAGTCAATTAATTCTACCTCGAGAAAAGAACAGCGACATTGATAGTAGAGTTGTTTATCAGCATGCTTAATTTGTTCCTATAAAATAAAAGGTCATAGAACAAACTATTGAAAATGGTCCATTCATAATATAAACATTCTGCATATTCATTGATGAACCATAAATTGAAACTTTTACCTCATTTATACGAGCAAAGAGTTGCTCAAACACACGGGGAGTTAAGCCTTGTTCATCACTGGATAAATCTTCTTCCAACAAGGCATTGGCTGGACCCCAAATCGTATAAGTCTTTCCACTTCCAGTCTAGTGAAAATCATTTTATTCATACCCACAAATTGAAAAGTTATAAATCAATACAAAAGTAATTCAAAGAAAAAATGAAGGAAAATGAAGAAGCAAGTACCTGGCCATAAGCAAACACCGAGCTGTTAAACCCAGCAAGACAATTTTCGACAAGAGGTGCTCCTACTAGCTGGAAGATATCTAGCTGCAGTTAAGCAAGAAACAAAATTTAGGGTGTTTCAGAAAAAAATTAAACAAAGGGAAATTAATAAAAATAAGCCTATCAGTACCTGAGTTGCATCCGCGTTGGCGACTGAGTCAAACATGAAGGTTTGCCCATTGATACTCAAAGAATCACTTGTAATTTTCTGAACAATCGTTTCCTCCTCTTCCTCTTCTTTAATTGGTGGCCGCATCCGTACAATAACCTAAAAAAATAGAAGTTAAAATTTCAAATATAAGAAAGTGAATAATTAAGAAGAACAAAGGAAATACCTTGACACCGGAATCGGGAATTCCTGAGACAGAGCTTTCGGGGAGGGTTTCGGTATAAAGTTTGCGTTTGAGAGGGTTGGAGGAAGGCGGGCGAGGTGGCAACGGACTCTTGATCTTGGCCATTATGGCGGGGGAACGATGGGAGTTGGGATCGAGAGGCGGTGCGTTTTCTTTGGAAGATTTTGGATGTTTCCGTTTGGACTTAGAAGAGGTAGGGTTTGGGGTAGAAGGATTCTCCATCTGCTCTCTGTAGACCGTGTTTCGTGGTAACATGAAATGCTTCATGTTTTCTTTTCTGTTCATGTTTCTTTTCCTGTTTGTTGGAACAGAAAAGAAAACAGAGGGAAAAAAGAGAGAAAGTGGAGATCAGGGCAAGGAAACGAGAGAAATGGATAGAAAGAAAGAAAGAGTGAAAGCGAGAGAAATGTAGCCGTTAGAGGGAAATAAACAGAGTTTGAATTTGGGGTTTAATTATTCCATATGTCTGTCTGTTACTACTGTTTTTATTTATTTATTTTATTTGGGGGGGTTTTTAAGGAAAACAATGGATTTGAAATTATTTTTGGATCTGGATTTTTTTTTTACTGGAATAAATTTAGGTGAACCCATTGATGGGCCCACTTTTTCATTGTTCATTGGACGGTCCAGATTTTATTGGGCTCCTTTTTGTGCTTTCTTTTCCTTTAATCTAATTAGCCACTTTACTGCTTTTAAATTTGAGATTCTACCTTTTGGCCAAAAAAAAGTTCAGATTATACCATAGTAATTTTATTCCTTTCAATTAAGCCATCATCTTATTGTTTGTTGGTTTTGGATAATTAAGGGTTTATTTAAATAACGAGTGAAATTGATTTCAATAAAATTAAAAATAAAAATAATAATAAAATTAATTACTATAATAATGAGATTGAATATTATAACGATGAAATTAAAATAAATTATAAAGTATGAATTTAAATATTAATATTATGATAACAATAAATTTAAATATATCAGTCAACTATCTAATGAATCACCGGACCTTCCCCTCTTCAACTGGAAAATGAAGGGATAGTGCAATTGGAGTTAAAACCCCTCTTGGATTCAATGGGATCTAAATGAGGCTTAAGTCAACTAATTAATGTGTCTGTTAAATTATCGTTTTGCATTAATAAATAGATAAAGAAAAAAAGTAGATGTTAATACAATTCAAATGGCAAGAAAAGGGGAAAAAAAAAGAAAACAGACAAGTTAACTTATATATGCTTATGATATTAAATTACAAAATAATAAGTGGCTCTTTGTCATCTCAAGAACTGAACATCCCACCCATCTTAGGTTTATTCTAACTCAAAACCTCATAGATAGAATCTTAAGTTAACAAGTGTTAAGGTGTTCATGTGGACAATCCAATACAACTATATTGACACATCTCAATGTGGAGTATTGAGGTGGGAGCATACAATGGAAGTTCTCAGTGATGCATAGCCAATTGGGCTGAAAGCCTTCTGCTGTCTGGTTATCCTACCACTAGATTGGTAATAGGAACAACCTAAAATGCCTAAGGCATAATAAAACTATTAAAACAACGCTCAGGTATTGTTCCATAAATGGCCTCGCATGTCTTTTTCCCTTTCACAACCTTAATTTGCGCGTCGAAACACTCTCCATTCATTACCCACCACTCTTTTTTCTTTTTTCAGTTTTATTCTCTATTATATATAAAACCAAAACAACCCTTCCCCTTCTAATCATATCATTACCATCAACATAGAAGCTGCATAGAAATGACGAGAACTGAGATGATAATTCTGTCTTTGTTGTTCGTGATAACAGTGTCATTCAGGTTGGTTAATGGGTATGGAACGATAGTGGGAGGGAAAACGCAGGTAAACGACGTGAAGAATAACAAGGAGGTGCAAGAGCTTGGGAAGTTCTCGGTGGAAGAATATAACAGGAGCCAAGGGGATTTCAGAAGTAATGGAGGGACGGAGTTGGTTTTTTCTCAGGTGGTGGAGGCGCAGAAGCAGGTGGCTTCTGGGTTCAAGTACTATCTCAAGATTGAGGCCATGCAGAATGGGGCTAACAAGACGTTTGAATCGGTGGTTGTGGTGAAACCTTGGGTTCAATCCAAGGAGTTGATTAACTTTTCCCCTCCTACTCAATAAAGATAGTGGTTTTGGTTGTGTTAAATCTGTAACAATGCAGCGGTCATTCCCCAAGATTGTTTTTGTGTTTTAGGGCATTTTTGTTTTGGTTCTTATGTTTGTGGATGGGAATAAGGTCTGTTTCTTTGTTTTGACCTATGATTTTCATATATTATTGGTCTTCGAATATCTAATCTTAATTAGAATTAGAAAATTAGTCTATTTATTTAATATTATTTCATGTCATGTCAAATGCCTGTAATCTTATTTCTTTTTTGACTTTCTCTCTTCGTTCTTACCAAACGCAGTATTAAGCCAAGCCCCGAGGATTTGATATACATGAATGCTACATTTAACTCATTCATCATCTATTTCTTCATCTAATAGCAGCATTCGGACATTAGCTGTAAAATCTGAAACTTCTTGGCATGTTCATATATCTGACAATGGATTAATAATTGGCATGCAACTGAATGAAATTACAATTTGCAAAAATTAAGATGCGGGTTCTTCAAGTTAAAAGAACTTGGAATGAAAACACTAGGTAGAAGACAAGTAGCATAACCACATTCATATTTTAACATATGAACAATAAACTAGGTATCTTAATCACTGAAAAGTTAGGAGTATCCACAGCGAGTAACTGTCTGGATGAACAATATAAGTCCTAACATCTGGAGAACGTACCTTTATAGCCTATCATAATATCAATTTACCCAAATGCTCTTAGCATTTTTATCTACAAAGCCGTCTTTAGCTGCATTGATGCCTATCTATCATAGGGAAATTCTTGGTTATTCTCTGTTACTCTAAAGGGTTGAGGTTGCTGACCTGAGCAGTACAGATTCCACATCTTAAAATACGCCCGTTCAAGGTTCCTCACCTGAATTTATGAAATAAAAGTTAAATCTTGTTAGCACTGATGAATTAACTGTTACATGATAAGTAGGAATACAGATCCAAAGTTTGTTGAGGCAAGCTTTAGATGGCATGAAAAATAGAAAGATCTTTGTAGCAAATAAGCAAAAACAAATACTCACCCAGCGTGCTGTGTCAAAAAGAGGGCAAGCCATTCGGGCTGCTTTGAGTTTATCAGAAAGATCTTGGAGCTTCGTACGATTTAGAGCAAGTGACACAGCCTTCTCTTCATATTCTTTCAGACTTTGAATATTTTGGTAAAATTTGAAACAGAAAAAGAACCATCATCAGCAAGAAAAAGAAGAAAGGAAAAGGCAATAGCGTGAAATGCTTCTCAACTCAGACAAACAAGCATATGGACTAGAGAATGCTGTTGGTGCAAAGCCAAAAAAATGCTTCCTTGCTTTCGATCCACTTTATTTTTTTTTTATTTTTATTTTTATCGGCATCCCATTCATTTAATGACCATAAAATGACAGTGTGCTAAGATTCATGCTACTGGTCAACCATGTTGTATTCTAGCCTGAAAAGAAGAAATTATTGGCAAGGCAGGTAAACCATGCACTCCCGTCAGCTTTTATCACTATTGAAAGACTTTCCATTATTGTAGGTGTGTTTGCTGGGGGGGGGGGGGGGTGTTGGCTATGAAGATAAAGTAAGAAACCCTCCACTATCTTCCACAAAGAAAGCGAGGGAGATAAATCAATAATAACAAAGTAAAACCTTTTCAGTTAGCCCTACTGTTTCCTCAATTAGATCATCAGTCATACCTGCTGACAATCATCTCCTCCCCAACACCAGTAGCCAGACACAATGAACCAGCAACTCTAGTTGCCATCTTTTCAAGTGGAAGGGTCACCATTGGAAGACCAGCCCATAGAACATCGGTCCCTGTTGTGTGTGCATTGCATAATGGTCTATTCAAAAACAAATAAAAGAGTATCAGTACAATGAAATGTAAGCAATAAATTTTACTGTGCCTAACCAAATCAAAGTTTAAGAGGAAATCTGAATCTACTGATCTCTCAAGTTTGAGGGAAAAAGAACGAGGTTCTAGTATTTATTTAAATATTTACGTATCCAGGAAGAGATCAGCCAAGGCACTGCGTCTTATATGTTCACTTTTCATGGCAACATCTGTAAAAATAATCTGATCCGACAGCACTCCCTGCTGAGTTGCATCTGAATCACACCAAAACCAGTTATTTTTTTAATACTAATGGTCAATAATAATTCGAGGCATATTTCACGGTTCAAAAGAGATAAAATGCACAGAATATAGATACTGCGATGCTAGAACACCTACATGTTCGGAGCCTCATCTCGCCTGCAGCTGGGAATCTAAGCAGCCAAAGGGCACTATTTGGAACACGCTTAAGAATATTGCACCTGAGTTTGATTGCAAGTAGATTTAAGTACATAGATAAAACAAGGAGTAAAACAGGATACAAATTCACGCAAATATACCATGTGGTGAAAATATCGGGATCCATCTTGTACAGCTGATTGAAACATGCAAAGATAAATTTGTCCTCAGGTAGTCCATAATCAGATCTCTTTGGCAGGCAGTTTGGATCCAAGACATCAAGATTTTTCTAGTGATAAATGCAAATGCAAAGAAGAAAATTTAGAGAATCCAGACAAAAACATTATACTAAGAACATCACAGAGACCAGGAACCAATTCTAACCTGCTTATAATCATTTACAAAGTAACAATGAGGCAGGTGTACAAGCTTCTCAGAGTAGATATGAGAAAAACGAAGAGGTGAAACGAACTGCAATACGAAGAGCAAATGACATATAAAACACAATAGGATAAACTTGGAAGTAAAATCCAATGAATGACCTATGGACTATGGTTCTCTAACCTCATCGGTGACCAAATAGTGTATATTCGATGCACCAGTAGTCCCAGGAAATCCCATGTAAGAAATCTGAATAGGAGCAGGTTGCATTGCAAATATCTCATTCCTTGCCCCCTGCAATATCAGATTTGAAATTAAACAAATAAAAAAAAAATCCTAATAAAACCAGAACAAAAATGACAAGAAGCATTTACAAGAGGTAGAACAGTATCTTCATATAAATTGATTCACATAGGCATTCATCCACCACATCAAGTGGAACCAAATAAGAGCAAAGAAATATTAGAGATTTTATTTCTTCTCTCCATATTTTTCACTAGTTTCAATTGAATTACCATATAGCAAAAGTTGATACCTTAGTATACCCATTAAGATTGACAAGGATTTGTATTTTATCCTCATTTATCATCTTTACAATCGTGTCAGATGACATGGATGATACATCTATGAAGTGCTCTGCTTCAGACTGGATACGCAACCTCCATTCTGTCCCATCATTTGGACTCAATGCATAGCAAAATACCTGCAAACACTTAGTTCCAGCATGTAATGACAAAAAGATAGAAAATATTTGAAAATGCAAATCAAATAATTAGGGTCATATGTGAGGAGATCATTTTTCAAACCTCAACATTTTCTCTGTTATGCATGCCAAACACTGAGCCCATGAGATGAGATAGGGGATGGTTGCCAAAATCACTACTCACATATCTGAAAAGACATAATGCCTGTTAAAGGAAATGAAAAAAAGGGAGAGAGAGAGCTCAAAACATACCCCACCCTAAGGCGTCCATTCCCTATCTCACCCTTCACAGGGAAGGGTGCAGGATAATTTAAAGGAGGAAGGGAATAACGGGATGCAATAACGGAGCAGTGTGCCGCATATTTACAGCTGTCAACAAAGATAGAAATCAATCAGAAACCAAATTTGCAAGTTTAATATTGCAATTACATCCAAAAACATCATCCAACTTGCCTGATTTCTAGTGCAAGCATTGGATCAATAGGATAGGCTATTGCATGGAAAGGCTGTACACTAGGAATAACTGACATCTGAAGGGTAAAAGAAAACTGTCAATACTACTCGACTAGGAAGGGAATTCAAAGTAAGACATCAAAGCCAAAGAAAAAGGAGTAGAGCTTATAGCAGATCATGTATGAACCTTAATCTGTCTCCTGAGTATGCCTTCAACTTCAATAAATTTATTCTCCCGATCCTCCCAGTAACAAACACACTGCCCAAGGGAATATCATATTTATTAATTGCAAACAAACAAAAAAAATAGCAACTGAGTTGGCCAAGGCAACTAATATGATATAAATCTACAGTGAAAAATACGGACTGTCAAACCTTTAATCTATTTTGTATATAACCAAGAAACAGATAAAAGTGCACATCACTGTTTTCTTTTTGTCATTTCACAGTATCCAGGTATCATTTAACCAAATACCAACAGACAAAAGAAAGCAAGACAATAGAAAGAAAGTATTTTGATCATGAACTAGGATTTATTACCCACCATTTTCCACAGCAATTTTAAAACAAGACTAAATTATTACTTGAAGACTTGGGAGAGAAAAACTTGGGCGGCAGAAGGAAATACTTGCTAATCAACAAAACATATAGCTAAGCATGCTCAATAGATTATCTGCTGATTCCCAAACAAGGGCCTAGTAGATCTTCCCAATTTGTTAAAACATGCACTTAAGTTATCACTATCACTGATACATGAGATCATATAGAAGACGACCATCTGCAAAACTTGTCAATTCTTCTTAGCATATAATTTCTTTGATTCAGATGCTTCATGAAAGGCAAGGAAAAGTTTCAGCCAAGAGGCAAGATTTTTTGAAGAAAAAAGAACATTGACTCAAACCTAAGATCCCTACTTAATCTAAAGATCTTTTGAAGAAAAAATCAAGTAAATTAGTTGTACCTACATTTCAGTGACCACATTAGGTAAGCTAGATTTGAAAGATTAATCTAGGCAGGATCATGCCATTAGGGAATAAGGCATTAGTATCAATCTCTAACTTCTGGACAAGTGACTGAAGGTCTGGATCTTATCTACCTTTAAGAAGCCAAAAATCAACCTACACTTAAACTGCAGTTGCAGTCCTAATTTCATTCCATGTTGGTGGTCTATACCTGTAATGTGTGCAGAAGGTTACAGGTTGCTTCTGGAAAATCAGGGCGAAGAACCAGTGCTTGCTTGTAGCTTTTTATTGCAGCCTCAACATGTCCACTGCAAAATGTTGAAAGCACAGCACATTGACACAAGTTGAATCCCATAGAGGAGAAAATAGCTCCATCTATGTATCACATACCTGTCCTTGTAAGCAGAAGCCAAATTTGCATGAGCTTCTGCCATAGCAGGTCTAATGTTAATGGCTCGTATGTAGTCTTGAATGGCTTCATTTACTCTTCCACTCTCTTTATATGTATTCCCCCGGTTAACAAGTGCATCAGCAGCCATAGGATCAATTCTGAGAACTTCATTGTAACAAGATATAGCGTCTGAAAGATTACCCTGTAAAAGAAGAGTTAAAAAAATAACCCTGCATCAGTATTGTATATAAAAATGAGTGTGAGAAAGAGAAGATATACCTACCTGCTGTTTGTAAATGATTGCTA